ACAGCAGAGCCCCACCACTAGCATTACTGACAGAACTGGGCTTTCTAGCGCTTCCTGTCTAAAGAAATTTTTTTGCCAGCCACCCCAGGTAACTGAATAAACTGTATCAGCAGGCTACAGCCTTCTCTGCTGGGAAGACAGGAGAACAGGACAGCAGCGAGACTGCAGTGCAAGTGCAGTGTGCCCACACATAGAATGCGGCTAGGGAATAAAAGCTTGACCACCACAAAACAAGTCTGTTCAGAGCTGGATTTTTCAGTCGCTTTGTTATGTAGGTGCCCTGATTCAGCTGGACACAGAAGTGTACCTCCAAGCCTGACTTTATCAGGACAACTTCTGTTTAAAGGTGTTGGCTGAGTCGGGGCCAATAACAGGAGCCATCACTAACACCGTACCTTTCAGTTTTACAGCCCAGGGTTTCAGATTGTCCACACCTTACTCACTCTGCCTTCCTAAAATGTTTCATGCACTGGAGCAAGACCACAAAGTACTTATAAGCCATGCGTATAACTGATTAACACGGCTCATATCTGTTGCAGGAAGAAGATGCATGAGACACCCAGGTTAGCAAAAGAATTGGCACAAAGGCTTTTTGGCACAAAAAAAAAAGCTAGGGATCAAAATTTAGCTTTCTAAGTATATGGTTTTAAATTACCTCTATTTGTATGAACTGCTCTGTTATATGAGACTCTATTGCTATCATGATTAAATCTTTAAGAAAATCACACCTGATAATTACAGGACCAGAACGGAGAACATTTATACTGTGGTGTGCTTTAATATAAGAAACTCAAATCAAACATACATGTAAAAAAATATGCCTACTGGACTTTATGAAGAGTGTTACTGTGCATAAGCAGAATGCAGAATATATGTTTCTCTATTTTCTGTAGCATCATCAGAAAAATATGTATCTGCATGTACACTGTGCTAGTTGGGTGGGGACTGTTTGCTGGTTGAAAAGTTAAGCATATGCATGTAGCTTTGGGTCTTTACACTCACCCAAATGTTTTCATTTAAAGGAAGTTTTGCACAGTCTTGCATAGAAAATTTAGCTTAGTTTAGCTTACTACTTTTTGAACTCATGCTAATGTATGCTGTTTGCTGGTTAATCTGTGGATGCACTAAGTAGCTTAAATACTGTATGACTATAATCCAAAGCCCAAACTGTATGTGGAGTTCTAACAGGGATTTGGCTGGTATATGCTCTTAAAGATGACTTTAAAAAGAAAAAGAAATATATATATAACTGTTTGTTTACTGAGAATGTATACAGAAACGGTCTAAAGGGATTTTAAGGATGTGTTTTTTCACTTCTCCTCACAAACTCCCATTTGACCAAAATTGTTTATTATACATAAGCATTCCACCAGGTGAAGAATCCTAGTTCAAATGTTTAGTGCCTGCACCCTAATGGGAACAGAGTATCATTCCATGAATATGAACAGCACCTTACCAGCTTCTCTTCGTGCTGGCACAGGCAAGACAACCAATAGTTTGCAACTCCCAAGGGCTCACAGATTAAGACACAAAACTCCTTCACATGAAGCATTTTGCCAACAGATCAACATAAAATAAAGCAAGAAGTTGTTTTCATTCTAGTTTAGATGGCAGTTTCTTCATTCTGCTTTTATTTTCATTTTAGTCTCACCCATCCCCACTCTCTAGGCTTTCTTTCTTTCTTTCTTTCTTTCTTTTTTTTTTAAGGTATGGTCCAATTGATGCTTTTTGCATCGTTTCTGTGTGACCTTCAGTATTTTCCTCTTACACTCAAACCTCAGTCCATCATCTACCTTGAGACCTGACCCAGTTGTATACAGCATCGTGCACAGAACCTTTGCTCCCCAGTGACAATCACTGGCTTGAACAGAGCCCCGCACGCAGTTTGTATTGCAGCTCTGGGTCTCTGGCTACCAGTCTGTTGTGCAGAAGGAAAGGAAGGGGTTACTTTTTTTAGCTAGTTCTGAAAAATAGGGTGTGAGACAAATTAAACTGAGAAAGAAAAAGAATGTAGTGGCTTAGGACACAACACTTTCTATAGATCACTGTCTTCTCCCTTCAAAATTCCGCTTGGTCTTTAACATATATTACAGCTATCATGTTGTTATATATAATTCTGAATTAGAATATTCAAGGAACGCCATAAAATCTGCTGCAGCAGAAACTAGGTCTCTCTCTGTAAATATTTTTCTCTACTAAACAACTTAGCATTACAATAATCCTTGTGAACAAAGAAAAAATGCCAGACCCTAATCAGCACGCAGCAGGGGTAGGTCATGAACACATTTATCTTTCTTCTCAAAAGCCTCCCCTGGATAAAGGAAATGCCCTAATACTCAAGGCATCTTGGACACCAGATGGCTGATTATTAGACATTTTACGAAGAGGAAGGAAGTAAAGAGAAACAGCTTGAATTTTCATGGTACTGTAGGGACAGTGAAAAAGAAGGCAGAATGAGAACTTCATCCAAAACTCACTGACAGGGAAGACCCTGATTCAAAGGGTTTTGAATAGGAAGGAACGAAAGATCTTGTTTGCTTTTCTTTCTGCAGGCTAATTCTCAATTCTTCAAGAGCTAGAATGATTGATTTGTGAGTATGTTTCCACTGTAGTGATGATAGTGATGATAGTTGAGCCATTTTTTTTGCAGAAGAAAGGTCTGAGTTTTTAAATATTCCCAACAATGTTGTAGGCTTTCTTGAGACTATCTGCAGGTTTTTCATAGGCCTCTTTCTCAGGCCTCTGAGAGCCTGACTCAGTGAGCAGGAGCTTGTGGTAAGGCCAAGAGGAATACCAATATATGCAGGCATTGCTTGCAGAATTCTACCTCCTATGTAAGAATTCTATAGGAATACCAATTGGATGCATTTGGACTCATCCTCTCTTAATACAAGCTGACCCAATCTGTTTTACACTGGCTGAACTAACTAATGCTGTACCTTCAGCTATCTAGACAGCTCTACAGGTTACAGCAAGTAAAACATACTCTAATCATAGATATTTACTGGAATATTTATATATGTATATGTATAATTTATGCCAGAATAGTTATTTTCACCTACCTGGACTTTCAGAAAGCCAACTCCTTCCATGTCTATCTACTACATGGTTCTAGCAACCCTTCTAAAGCAAAGATGTTAATCTTTTCAGGCTCTTCCCAAAGCTTTCTACTTAAGAGCTACAAGACACATGTGCAAGAATGCTTAGGGCAACGAAACTTCACGGGTATTTTACAAGTGAAGGATGGCAGCAGCTCCTCCAAGGTCACAGCATGTGCTGTGGAAGGACATGGCTGCCTCAGGTGTGCAGATGAATCTTGAGAACGCGGATGTGGGAGCCAGTGGTCTCTGTGGTCCTGCCCCTCCCATGGAAAGGGATGTGGATTATCCAGCCAGCCCTGCTGATGCCAGCACAGCCTTCTTGTTAGGTATGTGATGAGAGACATAATGAATTGTTTGAGCAGTGAATGTGGTCACCCCATTTCTGGGGCACTGCACATGTAGATGTGGAAGCAGAGCTGCAGAACTGGAAGCAAGGCCTCCCATGAACAGTGCAAGAACTGATGGTAAAATCTCTCCACAAAGAACAAGCTGCATCAGGAAAAAGCTGGGGTTTTTTTGTTGTTTTTTTTTTTTTTTCCTTTTGTCATTAAAACTGGCAGAGAGAAGAGTTTTGCTGGCAAAAGAAAGCCATATAGAGGTGTGAGGAGTTTCTATTCATTATGCTAATCAACATAACTACACTGCCAAAACACTGAAGTGCTGTACAGGCCTTAGGGTGTGCAAAAGCAGAACCTGGACTCACTCACTTCTGTGGCCATCTAATATCAAACAAATCCATGAGCACAGACTGCAATGCGAATAGATGACTGATCTGTCAAACTTCCTTTGCTTTTTTAAAATAAGAAGAACAAAGGGCTTGGGGGAATGGAGTCATGTGGAGTAACAACTCTGAAAATTACCATGGGCTTTGGAACATTTCCTCAAAGGTGTAAGAGAGGCTGTTGTGATGCAGCTCTGTAATACACTAATGACAGAGGTACCGGCAAAATCAATTAAAACTTTTAGCTGTGGTTGCAACTCAGGGGCTGTAATCTCCTTATGCAATACACTTCACAGCCTAGTAGAACACGAGCCTGTTTTTTGCACCACAGTATATTCCTCCTCCCTTGCCATATTATGGGTTGTTGGGCTTTCTTTCTTTCTTATTTTTATTTTTACTCTCATAATATTTAACCAAATAAGCTTGTTATTCTGCCACAGATAAAACAAACATAAGGAAGCTCCTTGCAGGGATGGGTATGCCTGTCCTAGGGGAGGAGCAGCAGCTTATCTGCCCCAGGATTTTGTGAGGTAATCCTGCTTCGTCATTTTTGATTACCCATGCATTGTTTTGTTGACCAAAGATTTGTCTTTTTGCCTTACACACATATATAATGCCAATATATAAATTGCACAACGGGGTTATGGCAGCACGAGCCAATCTTTGGTATGTTTATCCATGCAGAGACATAAGCCTCTGTCTTTAGAGGCGAGTGTTTCCTCTCCTTGTTAGACCTATGAATATCTCTCACCAACGAAGTTTGTCAGTTTTCACTGCTGGCAAGTGTGCTGCTATAACAAACCCTGCAGACTGGCAAGCCTCCAAGTGGGGCGGGAGCTAAATCCTCCCTGCTATCATTAGTTAGTATTTACGTTATGGCAGAGCATAGAGGCTTCTAGCTGTGATTCAGGCGTTGCTGTGCAAGGAGACAGTAAAAGACACTTCCTGCCCCAAGCAGTTTATAGTCTAAACAGAAGAGCCTGGTGATAAATAGCAGAGAAAAGGCAGTACTTTTGCAACATGGAAAAGCCTGCAAAACACGAGATGTTTCTAAAAATAAATATTAAGTCTTTGTATTTGTTTTATAGAATACTAACATTTGTAATTTCAAGCCTTCTTAGTCCTTAAAGCTAGACAGTTTTTACTTATTCTAACAGCTACAGTTCTTGCTTACTCACACGACTCCAGGAGGCAAGGTCTTTTCAGATGAACACATCATGTCGATGATCTTCCTTCCAGTCCTGTGTCAAAGTTCCCTGCTGCTGACCTGTCCAGAGAAAACAATGACTGCAGCTACACAGCCAGATTCTCATGTTCTCTATTCGTGGAGCAAGAATTGTTTCTCTTATCTCGACCAAGTACAACAGCTTTCTCCCACTAAAGCAATTGATTTTTAAGAATAGCAGTAAAGTTTAATTTTCACATCCTCCATTATTCTCAGTGCACATTTCAGTTTCCCATTTATTTCATGTATCCGTGGTCCCACTGGTAAATACTGCTGTCAAACCTGTGGATTCACTGTTTCATCCCTCACTTTTGACCTTGCCATTTTAAGTGGCAGAAGACTGCTATAAATTCTTGGTTTCTCTGATGACCAGTGATATAAAAGAAGGGAGAAAAGATGTAGACAGAAAGAAGTGGGTGTTTTGCTTGATCCAACTTGGCCCTTAGTTGTAAATTATTGCACTACGCTTAGCAAACAGGCAGCTGAGCAGGAAAAAATCTGTGGGAGAAATAAACTTCTACGCTATGCATTTTCTTGAAGGTGTAGAGGCAAATGTCAAATTCATATGCATTGTTTGGTTCTGCTGTAGGCAATGGAGATGTTTATACTGAGGAAAATGATTAGAATATATCCCATGAACCTCACCTCGCCATCTTCACTCTTTCTGCATATTCTGAAAAGACTACCTAACAGCATGTCTAAAAATAGGACTGAACTTTCTTAATTTCATAGCAGACAAGCATGCAGGAATTACTGTGTATTATTGCACTGCACTGCAAAGAGAAAGGAATACTCATACTGTCTGTGTAGGAGGAAGTCTCTGAGGGGAAAATCATCAATAATAAAGGCCTCTTTTATTTGAATCACCTAACATTTCAGCTCTTCAAATCCTAACTCTGAATTTTCTTAAAACAGGTTTCTATTATCTGTGTTAAACACATCAAACTGAGTAATTCAGTCTCATCATCTAAATTCAGTGTTGTGATAGCAGATTGTAATTGGGACAAGTTACCTAAAGAGGTAATAGAAGGCTTGATAAAAGCAGTATGTGAAATGTGTGTTTAAGGAATTACATAAAGGCCTTAAAACATACATGTGAACATATGTGAGAACAGTATAAAATGGTGCTCTGTCATAGCTGGTTTTGTGGGGCTGGAATAAGGGACACACTTATTGTGAAATCCTGCCAGCCTTGACCATGAAATCTCAAACATTACACTGCCTCCTCACCTCTGTGTTCACAAAAATCTGCTCCTGGTATCTCAGGTATCTCAGCATCACATCTGCTCAGCGCTCACCCTGTATGAAGGCTGGCTGCAGCTTGGCACGAAACCCCAGCTTGTGGTCCTCTGCTAAGGCACCTTTGGGGCTCACCTCAGCAGAAGAGGTTCCCATGGATTAGTGTGAGCATCTTTATGTCTGTTTTTCCTGCCTAGCTGTGGGAGTCAAAGCAGCTAGCCTGGAAGAGAGCAGCGCGCTCTTCTTCCACAGAAGAGCACTCAGACATTCTCCATTTCTGCAAAGGTGACAGCCTCATGAACATGCAAGCCACTGAGCAGTGCTGAGCAGGGACAAGAATTCATGGCAAGGACTGTTTAGTCAGCACATTTTTCCATGCAGGCCTGGAGGGCAGTCTTGTGCACTGGAACTGGAGTGCTGCCTACTTACTGTAGCCAGTTCAGGAGCCCAGCACTCACAACACAGTACATCAACATTCAGAGAGAATGCCAAATATCTTGTCATGCATAGCCCATAATTTTCCTGGTTTGCTTTCTTATGCAATAAACCTGGTTTGTTGTCTTCTAGCAAATGGATATTCTCAGGCAAGTATACAAAGAATGTTTATGATAATAATACCCCTGTTAATAACATTGCTAAGATCCAGACACTTGTAATTCAAGACTACAGTCTGTCACACTTCTACAAACCACAATTTCCATTGCTAAACTTTCAGCGCTCCTAAGAGGAGGGATGTAAAGACTTTTTCATTAGGTTGGAATGATGGAGGTAATAAAGTAAGTGACTTTTCCAAAACCAGAGGACATATCACATGGCAAACGAAACCCTAATCCAGCAAAGCCCTTTGTGTGGATGAAACTTACAGCATGTGAAGAATAATGAAATCAAATACTCGGCTTGACCCACCTTCTTAAGAATAATCACCAAACAGAGTACGTCACACTATTTGATGCAAGGACAACCAAACTAACGCGTAGACCAGTATTCATCTAATCATGAGAAAAACAGCTGTGTCGACTGATTTGCCCTGCTCCGCTATCTCATGTCCTATATCCACAGATCCTCCCCCCTTTTTTTAGTTTGCATAAAACTTTCTTCTGTATTGCCACACGTAGCTCAGACATCATTCTGGTTTTTTAAACCTGTTGTCAATCTGATCCATTGAAAGAGGCTATCTCCTATCAGCAGAGCACAACTACATTGTCCTTCTGCATCCGTCACATCAGATGAACAGCCCTCATTGTGCAGGCAGCTGGGCGGGTCAGCTCTGCAGGGATGTGTCCCACGCTACTGCAATGCACACAGCTCTGGGTGAGCCCAACAGACAGCACTTGCAGCCACTGCACCTGCTGTGCAGCTACCTGTGCCACTTTTCTAGAATTTCCACTGTGAAAGATGAGCCCATGGTGGTTTCACAAGGCCATTTTGTCTTATTCACGATATCAATAAATCCGTATCACATTTAAGTGTTTATAAGTTGTTTTTAATAACACCCACCTCATGTGCCTGGCCTTTACTATGCAGACACATATGTCAAAGAACACACATATCTGACGGATTGACAGAACATCTGGAAAACCCTATTTTAGGAAAACGCTCTATGGCCTTGGCGAGGGACTTGCTTAAGGCCAGCACGTGGTCTGTATCCGCACACCAGCACAGAACCACGACAGGGCCGCTGAACTCTGCAACTCCTCAACCTGAGGAGCAGGGCTCCAGCGCCTCCAGCTTCACCATGGCCACGGCCAACCCACCTGGAATCACCAAGGGGCTTTTGTGGGACGTTGGTGAAAACCTACAGCACTGTTTGTACGCTGTCTTTAAGCTCTGTTTTGGTTCTAGTGACATTTGGCATCCGCAGACGCAAGGACTCGGCCGGACCCGCTCCGCAGCGGGGCAACGCACCATCAGCCCCGGCCCACGCATCCCACAGGGCGGACCGGGCCGGGCCCGGCGTCACTCCTCTCCCCATCTCTCGGTGTGCCAACGGCCGGGCTCATCCGGGGCGAGGCCCGAGTCCCGACGTACCTGCTGGGCCCGGGGGACTGTAAAGTGGGCTGAAGGCAGCAAGAGGCTGAGGCGGGAACCGCTGAGGCTGACAGGGGGACGCCGAGGTGGGCGCTGAGGCGGGAGCCGCTGCTGCTCCCGCTCAGGAACGCTGAGGCGGAGCGGCCGCCCGCGCCCCCTCGCGGAGCCGCTGCCATCTGCGCGGGACGAGCGCTCCGCGGCGCGGCTCGGCGCGCTGCGTGCTGATACGCGGTAACTGCCCGGAGAGGAGAGGAGAGGCGGGGCGGGGCGAGCCGCCTCCTGCCCTCTCTCCCTCCCTCCTTCCTTCCCTGCCCGCCGCTCCCCCCGCCGTCGCCGCCGCCTCTCCTCCCCGGCCTCCCTGATGCCGAGGAATGGATAGAGCGGCTGCCCTGCGAGCCGCCGGCATGCTGGAGAGGAAGGAGCGGGGCGGCGAGGCGGCGGGGCCGGCCGTGCGGAGCACCGTGCAGCAGTGCGGGCTGCTCCAGGACCTCATCGACATCTCGCTGTCCAACCTGCGCGGGCTCCGCACCAAGTGCGCCGCGTCCAACGACCTGACCCAGCAGGAGATCCGCACCCTGGAGGTACGGGCCAGGGAAGCCCCGGCGCCGGGATGCGCCGGTCCAGGGGCCGGGCCCTGTCGCCAGCGCCGGGAGCTGGCGCTCTTTCAGGGTACCGGGCCGTGGGGAGGAGAGGGGAGGGGGAGGGAGAAGCCCTTCCTTTCTGCCCGGGCGTAGAGGGGAGCGAGGCGACGCGGAAGGGAAGCAGGAAGGGGGATCGGCCGCCTCTCCGCGCAAGCTGCGGGGCCTCGCCGTCCTGTCGCGGTCCCGTCGGGCCACCGGCAGCGAGGCATCCCGCCGGCCCAGCGCTGCGCCGGTGCCCGCGGCGAGGGAAGGCGCGCCGGGCCGGACAGGTGCGGGAGCCGCGGGCAGGCCGCGATGAGCCCCCGCCCCTCCGCGCTGCTGCCGCCCGGCTGCCGGCCTGTGGCGGACTGCGCGCCCAGAGTGGCAGGTGCGGGGCGAGGCGGGGACCGGAGGTGCTTTCGGAGTGCCTGGCTGAGCCGAGGCGCCGCGTGCCTTGTCCCAGGATGCTGGACGCGCAGATGTTTCCCGCGGGTCTCTGGTGTTTGTTTCTGGTGGCTCCTGCTCTGTCCTTCCAGGCCTGTCTCTCTGTCCCTGGCTCGGTTTCGCTGATCTAATCCGATCCTCCTTTCCGCTCCGTTGGTGTGGCTGACGGCGGCGTTGCGGTCCACGTTGGAGAGATGCTCCGCTGTTCAGAGGCGTTAAGCAGAATCCTTTATGCAGAGAACGTGTGCTTTTTTGATGCTTTCAAACACGATCTGACTGTATGCATGAGTGTTTGGAAAGGAATTCGGAGTTGTTCCGTTTGTTTGACCTTAAATACTGAATAGTGCTTCCCTTTGCCTTATGTGCAGGTAATGCTGCTCTGAGCAGAGTACACAGTTCCCACCTATCTCCTGCTTGGTCAGAAGTGGAGGCCAGTGCTCCTTTTCCCTAGCCCAATTCTGCGGGCTGCAGAGCTGGAGCATCAAGCTCAGAGAAGGAAAATCCTTGTAATAGTGAACCTAGAACAAACAT